AGGGGAGTATCCAAAAACGTTTCACATACGAAAGCAAGATCGTTAAATTGAAATGAACACACCACTTCCTGGTCTGAAGTTGGTCTCAGACGCTGCTTTATTGTTTCGAGCAGAGCGAGTGTTGGATAGGTTGTGCCAAAAACTTTGAATATTCGGTTGATCACCGGTCCAAGCGCTGGATTTAGTGGCTGCAATTATTGTATATGCGACTGATGTTTTGGAGCAATCGGAAAGCGAGAGAATTATGCTCTACCGCTATCTTCACAGCAGGGATTTCATCGCCATGCAAAGCTTTCATGACCCATTCAAAATCGGCAGCGATCGAATCCATGAAGTACCCGCCCTCCAGAATCATGGCCAACGGAATGCCCCACGACATCAACTGACGGGTAAGAGTCGCGTAACCCGCTGGTGTCAGTCGCATCTCACCTTCCGGATCGCCTTAATAGGAGTGTACTTAGAGAATTATGCACGCTGCATTTCAGAAAACTAGAAGCGCGTCGAGTGCAGACCACACACCACAAGTGACGACGGCCTCCACAAAATGTAAATGTTTTCTGCCAATGAAATGATTAGCCTGTTGCAGTTGTATTCTATCAGTTGTCACTAATTACAACTATCATTTAACTATCAGCTATCACTATGAACACTAGTTACCAGATTTACTTGGAGGCCGTCGTCACTTGTGGTGTGTGGTCTGCACTCGACGCGCTTCTGGTTTTCTGAAACAGAGTATAAGTTAGGTGGTAGTGGACGAACCTAATGCAGCATCGAAGCCGCACGAGACGAGTATGATGTCCGGTTTGAAATCGTTGATAATGGGATGAACAATGAGTTGGAAGATTGCCAAATAATCTGAATCGCTCATCCCAACATCGTCGAGAGGAACATTGACGGTGTTCTTGACTATAAATACGAAAATCATACAAATGTTGAAGATAAGGTCGTCGTTACCAGTCGGTCACAATAAAACGTCTACGGCTCACATCTTGTGACCATAGCGGTACCTAAATGTGTTTTAGACTTCACAGTGGTCTTGGTCAGGCACTGCTCAAGTCAGGAAGGTGCAATCGCCATGAGTGGAATTCGGCTATCTGGACGAGCGAGTGCTGCATTGCAAGTCAACTTACTGGGCTACCTTCATCACGACTGTGATTTCTTCAGGTAAACCTCCATGATTTTATGGCGCAGAATAGGGAGTTGAGGTGAAGAATGGCATTCTAGCCGGTCATTCTTGATAAGCAAATCATCAGGACAATGGTAAATAGAAGGGAAAACACTTGCCGTTGGTGCCTCGCCTCTAAGGTTCATGTGATTGCTGGGACGATTTCAGTGGTCGAAACTCCACCAAATAAAAAAACTGTGGCTTCAAACGGGGAATACTGAACTCGTTTCCCGGCTGTTCGCAGACCAGTACAGCCGCTAGGTGAGTTGCGGGGTGGGTTCAACGGATACAAGATAGCGTGGATGGGAAACGAGTATGTCCAAAAAATCGCGAAGCGGAAGGATAAATATAAAGGCTGGCAAAGGAACCTGAAGCCCAGACTGTTTCGCTCTCTACAAAAGTCCGAAAGTTCGCTAATAAAGTCGTAGCCAGGGCAGAGAACAGATAATTGCGTGCCTCGTACGAAAAGCTCTACAAACGGAAGGACAACTGGCTTGTCGGCCAGTTGAGGCTCGAGATCATGAAACTCAACCTATCAGAAAGTGAAAGCTGTGCGGAGCAGCGAAGGTGCCCTCCGCAAGTTGGTTGGAATTAAGAGATAGAAGTAGTTTATATTCACCAATATGTATCGACTACGTCAGCAGTGATTTGGATGAATTTGGTCCCGCTTTTTGAATGGATGTGTGGAAAGGCAGCTTTGTCGTCTAATCCTTCAACAGAAAGTAGACGCCATGGAATGTCTCAACAACCGCAGGGTCCTTGACCGCAAATATGGTGAAGCTTGTGTTGGTCGTCTCGAAGGTGAAGAAAGTGGTCCCGATCTAACAAAAAAACTCCACTTCATGTCCGAAAGGTTGGCGACGGACGCTATTTGTATTGCTGGACAGGTGGTAAACTGGTACCGAGCAGTCGATCTTGTCTACCGCCTCCCTAGCTAGTACTCTGGAGAGGTGGGGTGTGGGGGAGGGGAGGGGGGGAGACACTCTAACGAAACATTCTAGGAGCTCCGTCGTGGAGGACAAGTATGATGGGGCCAAGTCATACACAAGCACTGTGGCCAAGCAAAGTGATACACAATGGATTAGCTCGGAGATCGTACCCATACTGCTGATTCTGGACGTCGTGGTGAAGGAACTCATAAAACTGAAGATTGACATTTACGTTGACGACAACGCCCTGGTTGTGGATACTCCAGAAAATAGTGCAACCTGGCTCAGAATGAGCTCTAGCTAAATTATTTAACGTGAAAGTAGCGAATTTCTGAGCTTAGGAGAAAGTCGGAGCCATTCATGGCTTTCGACACCTGGGTACCGAGTTAGCAGCTGACTGCATCGTGGACAAGGCAGTGGATACTCGCTCAAGAGTAGTAGAGTGGGGAAGGGTCCACTTGTTCACTCTATGAT